CACTTGGTAGCCCAGGCTGGCCTTGAACTCACAGAGATCCGCCTGGCTCTGCCTCCCGAGTGCTGGGATTAAAGGCGTGCGCCACCACCGCCCGGCTTCCCAAATGGATTTTTAAATTGTGGTTTGACTTTAACCAAGCCTGCCTTATTTTTTATTTGCATAGTCTAAGGTCAGGCTGGCCAACTTTGGGGCCTGGCACTAGCACAGTAGTCCATTGTTTCAATTACTAATTACTACATCGGCTCATATCTGAGGATTGGAAGAGATGGCCAGTGGTTTCAAACTTATATTGAAACAGAAAGTAGAGACTATGTGGGCTAGGAATGTGACTCAGTTGGTAAAGTGCTTGCCTACTATATACAAAGACTGCGGTTTGATCCTAAGCACTACATAAACCAGGTCAGGATCACAAGTTCAAGATCATTCTTGGCTCTCTACAAAGTTTGAGGCTAGCTTAGGCTACATAAAAAACAGTCCTGGGGTCGGGTGTTGCAGAAATGGATGAACATAGCCAGGCACACAATTTTAATCCCAGCACTCAGGAGGCAGATCTCTCTGAGTTCGAGGCCAGCCTGGTCTACAGAGCAAGATCCAGGACAGGCACCAAAACTACAAAGAGAACCCGTGTCTCGAAAAAACAAAAACAAAAGAAAACAAACAAAGTGGACAGCCTGGTCTGCAGACCAAGTTCTAGGACAGGCTCCAAAACTACACAGAGAAACCCTGTCTCAAAAAAACCCAAAATAAATGAATAAATAAATAAAAGTTAAAAGTGCTTGCTTGCTCTTCCAGAAGACCTGAGTTCAATTCCCAGAACCTGTGACTGACTCCAGGGCATCTGACCCCCTTTTGTTTTCCATGGGCACCTGCACACACACAATATATGTATACTTAATATCGGAAAAAATCAGGGAAAAAAAAGGCATGATGGCATACACCAATAATCCCAGCACTCAGGAGGCTCTGTCAAAAGGACAGCCATGAGTTTGAGGCCAGTGGGCTATATAAATATCTATCTAAATAAATAAATAAATTTTTATTTTATTTTATTTTATTTTATGCCAGACATGTTAGTACACACCTTTCTTAATCCCAATACTCAGGAGGCAGAGGCAACCAGAGCTTTGAGTTCCAGGCTATCCTGGTCCACATAGTGAGTTCCAAGCCAGCCAGAACTACACAGTAAGACCATGTCTCAAAAAATAAATTAATAAACCACTTTTTTAACAAGCTCTGTGCCGACATCTGGAGACAACTTGTATGCTCTGCTTTTTTTAACCAGTGTGGTCAGACAGGACCTTTCAAAAGCAGCTCTAGAAAAATGGGCTAGACCTGAACTCCTTATCTCACATGGACCCACGGGGTCCCTAAATGTTCATGTGCAATTGCAAATTTCAAAATCAGAGGCAAGGTACTACCATGTGAGGAAGAAAAAGGGTTAAAGGTGCTGGTTCATCATCGTACATCAATAAAATGACAAGTCAGTTTGTGGGGACTCCTCACTTAACCACATGATCGATAACAGGAAAAGCAGATTTAACCACTCCTGATGCTAGGCCGTAAGGATTCTGCTACAGAATTTCCATACTTGGTCAGGAGTGGTAATCCATGCCTGGAATCCTAGCACTTGGGAGACTAAGGTAGGAGGAATGCCTTGGGTTGGAGGCCATCTGGAAAGACCTGTGGCTGGAGATGGCTCAGTGGTTAAGAACACTAGCTGTTAGCTTGGCAGCAGTGCATACCTTTCTCCCAGCAGAGACTCGGCGCAGAGACATTCGGATCTCTGAGTTCCAGGACAGTGGAGGCTACAGAGAAACCCTGTCTTGAAAAAAAAGAATGCTGCCCTTGCATAGGATCGGGGTTCCATCCACACGGCAGCTCACAACCCTTCCAAGGAATCCAATGCCCTCTCTGGCCTTTGTGAGCACCAGGCACACACGTGGTACACAGATACACATAGAGACAAGATGTCCATACAACATAAAAATTAAAAATGTTCTATGTTTCTATGCCTGGCTGGGAAAGTGGGCTCTAGACAGGCAGCCACCAAACTAATAACTACGTGTTCCAGTTACACACTACAGTTACAGGGTCTCACTATATAACCCAGGCTGGCCTCAAACTTGCAACCCTCCTACCTTGTCAGCTCAGGTGCTGGGATTATAGGTGCGTATCCACTATTCACAGAGGCTAATTTCTTTTCCAATACTGAAATAGCCTCTTCTTCACTGACGAGACAGACCCATGCTGAACAGTTTGATACCGTGGATTGGTCTCTTAAGAGTAAGCCATGGGCCGGGCAGTGGTGATGTACGCCTTTAATCCCAGCACTCGGGAGGCAGAACCAGGCAGATCTCTGTGAGTTCGAGGCCAGCCTGGTCTATAGAGCAAAATCCAGGACAGACACCAAAACAACACAGAAAAACCCTATCTTGAAAAACCAAAAAAAAAAATAAATAAATAAAGAGTAAGCCATGGAAAAATCTTTTGGGTGAAGTTTAGGGACTGACTGCTGAACCGAGACAAAGCAAACTTTCCGAAAGCATGGCCACCCAAGGTCCCACTGCAGGGATGAGCTGGTCAAAACTAAGGCTGGGTCTCCTGTCTGCTGCCACCTCTCCTACTGTCTTAGGTCAATGGGTTAATACTGGGGTGCGGGTGTATTTCCAAGACAGGGTTTCTTTGTGTAGCCCTGGCTGTCCTGGAATTCACTCTGCAGAGATCCACCTGCCTCTGCCAACCGACTGCTGGGATTAAAGGCGCGCATCACCACCCGACCGATTTCACAAGTTTTCAAATCACAACTCCAGTCCAGTGCTGTCTCTATCTCTCCAGCAGGTAAGGCTACTAAAGAAATGAACAGAATTGTCAAGCTTTAAAAATGTAGCAAGTGGACAGGTAAGAGCTAGATGATACCACCTCTTCAAGGAATGGAAAGCCAAAAGGAAAAAAAAAAAATGCAGACTCCTCCTTTGAGAAATCTCAACTGATAAAGCAGGAAGCAGCGTCTGCAGCACCTGCATGGGAGTTCAATGCAATGTTCCTTTGTCTTTTATCAACTTCCACCCACTTCCCATGGGAACTCTACCTGGACCACACAACGGCCAATCTTCCCCCACAGGGCCTGTTTCCTGGACTCTTGTCTGAATTCAAAAGGGGGAGCGGGGAGAAAAACCGCACTTAAGCTGAATCATCCATTTTATTTGATTTTATTTTGTCATGTGCTCACAGCATTTCTCTCTCTCCTCTCCCTGGCAGGTCACAGAGATAAATTAAAAATAAAATCTACAAGGAAAATAATTTATAAAAAGCACTCCCAGGTTCACGCTTTCTATCCCTATTGCTCAGTTAGGAAACCCCTCCCTGCCCAGGGAGGAGAATCAGTGCTTCCCCCTGACTCACCCCTGCTAGTTGGGGGGCAGATAGTACTCTAGAGCTGACCAGGATTGGGGGGGGGGGGGGAGGGGGGCGTGGCAAGTGACCAAAAAAAAAAAAAAAAAAGACACTGTGGTCCTGGAACCATCTGGCTACCTTGGCGCTGCTGCCCTCCCTGCCTCCCCCAGGGCTGTCTTTCAGGAGCCCAGGCTAACCAGGCTATGAAGCAGCTGCCTGAAGCTGAAAGCCTAGTGGAGGGGCATCTCTGGCCCTTTCATGCATTTCTCATTTTCCTAGAAAGAAACCCAAAAAAGAAAACAAGACAAGACCTCGGGACAGAGGAGAAAAATCCCAAGTGTTTACACAGTTACACGGAGTCTTTATGGCAAAGAGAACATTTAGCAGCTTTGAATATTGGGGCATCTTCTTCTTACTCAACACAAGCATCCTAGGCCCTATAAGTGAAACAGGGCACACGCCCTAAAAAAATCAAAGCGCAAGAAAGTCTAAGAGGACTGGGTTTTGTTGCTGGGGTTTGTAGGTTTTCCTTTTCCCCAGTGACAAGGCCAGGTGTTGGTAGGCAGAGGGCCTGAGGGAAGCTCACTTCCCAGTGTTGTGCTGAACAGTGCCTGGAGGTCACTGAGCTGGCTTCTCCCTCCACACCATCACCTTGCTTCTGTTTAGCCCCTGCAGAGGACGCTATAGGCCAGGTTCCGGGTACTGCCAGAGTAGCACCCCACTCCAGAGAGCTCTAGGCAGCTAGTGAGGGTGGGTACCACAAAAGGGGGGAGAGTGGGAAGAGTACAGCATTTCCATGCAGGCTCTTAGGAGGTGGCTAGGGAGGGAGGTGGCTGTGGCAGGGCAGTGAGTGACATGCTTGATGGTGGGGCTGCTGCAACACAGGCCTCTTTATCACTGTTATACCCTCTGCCCTCCTCTGGCCTGAAAATAAGTCAGTGTTGGGTCCCCACGGCTCCCCGTTTAAGTAATTAAAACAATATAGGTGCCATCCAAGAGCTTCTTCCCCTTCAGGGATGACACAGTTCGAGAAACAGGTAAAAAGCCCTCCCATGGCCCCAGCATGTCTGCGTCTCCACACCAGCCACTTCTTCACTTAGGCCCACTGGAGTCACGCTCGCTGCCTGGAATGCTGGCCAAGGCCCTAACAGCCCCTCTGATTTTTCTGACTGCTTTGATTTTAGGCGATTTCCTTCCTTTTCTCCTTCCAGGAATGAGACTTTCCACCACTTTCTCTGTTCTCCCAAGTCCTCCTTTTCCCTTTCACTCCACACTGCCCCTCTACCTCCAGCACGCCACCACCACCCTTCCCTCAGGAGAAAGAAGGGAGTAGGCTGGGGACCCCAATCACTCAAACAATCTGGTCATTTCCACCCACTCCCAGTGGGGAAGCTAAGCCAGACAGCGCCTGCGCCCGCCCCTTGTGTGCACTGACCCGCAGTCATCCCATCTGAGAAGATATATTGGATAAGAAGGCATTTAAGTCCCCAGTGTTAGGTCCAGGCCCAGCCCTTCTCCAGTTTCTGTCTTAGTGAGCGTCCACCCCCTGCCTCCCCTGGCTCACTTCCTCCGGTCCTTTGGCTTTCTCTCCTGTCGCCGGGCCTGCTGGTCAGCCATCGTGCGAGGGATGAGGAGGACACTGCCATCCCCAGCATACTGAAGCGCATACTGACTGGGTGAGTAGGGCCTCCCGTTCTCATCCCGCAGCCGCCCAAACACCTCCTGGTATAAGCTCTGGACCTTCTGCTTCATCTGTCGCAGTGACCGCAGGAACTCTACCTTTTCTCGGAGCAGCCGGGCCTTGTCTCGCTGCAAGTCCTCCACATCACGCTCTAGGTTCAGGATGGTGTCTAGCTTGCGCTTGCGGCAGTTCTGTGCAGCCATCTTGTTCTTGCCCCGGCGCCGGATGTCCCGGATGAGGCTCAGCTGGGCCTCACTCAGCTGGTATTTGGACAGCAGCTCATTGAATTCCTCTACGGGTAGGTTGATGATTTTGTCATTGGTGAATGGGATCTTCATGGCTCGGGCTCTGTGCTCATCTCGGCTCATCTGCTTGTCCAGGAAGTCAGCCTGCTTTTCTTTGCTCCCTTTCTTGAGGGTGCTGGGTGGTGGTAGATCAGCAGAGTCAAGGGCACTGGGTGCCATATTGTAGGTGTGATTGTGGCCCACATGCTCTAAGTAGGGAAGGCAAGAGAGCTGAGAAGGATCCTGGTAGCTCATGCGGCAGAACTTGGAGTATTCCGGCTGGTAACCCACTGCACCCTCAGCCTCTTCTAGATCTAGCGTCTCAGAGTCAGAGCTGTAACCGACAGCACCTTCCTCAGAAAAGGAAGAAGAGGCAGAGGAGGAAGCAGAAGAGGAGGAGGACGTGGAAGAAGAGGAAGAAGAGCTGCCTTCAGAGCTGCTCAGGGAGGAAGGGCTATGGCTGGAGTCCAAGGAGAGGCCTGAGTCAGAGTCAAACTCCTCCTCAAGCTGGGAGGCCTGCACCGGGTTGAAGCCCTCCTCAATGGCCAGGTCCATCAGGCTGATTTCATCCAGCATCGCTTCATCTAAGAGGCCCCCCAGGGGGTCAGGCAGCTCAGGGCCTGACGTGTCATTGGCTGTGCCATTGAGCTGGGATGGAAAGAAAAGCCCTGCTAGGTTGGTAGAGCCAAAGGTGGAGTTGAGGCTGGTAGAGTTGCTGGGGACGAGTGGAAGCAGGGTGGAGCTGCTGGCCACAGGTAGGCTCTCCACCTCGGGGCTGAAGAGGGAGAAGTCCTGGCTGCAGCCACCCAGGGATGCCTGATGCAGGCTGACATTCTGATTGATAGGAGTGTTGGGCGCAAGGCTGTAGTTGGTGCTAAGAGGGTCTCCAGGAGGGGCATTGTACAGAATTTCACTCGCTGATGTATTCACTTCCATTGCCTGGAAGGGAGGGAGAAGTGTACCAGCATTCAAAAGGAGCAAACTCACACCCTGCAGGCCCCTGACTGAAGCACAGCTCCCTGGGCAAAAGAGCAAGAAACCGGACAGCGAAGCCCCTAGCTTGGACCAGTAGGCTTAGCACAAGGGGTTCCTTCACCCTAATGCAGGACTGACCGGCTCCTGATGATGTGTGGCTAGATTCCCGTCTTGGAGTGAAATGGAGTACACACACTGAACACAGCCAAACATAGGTAAGAAAACCTGCTGCCAAACTTGCTGTGACCACAAGGAGATCACCAGACATTCTGACCTTCCACTGCCCACACTGAACAACTGAGGACTAAAGGGAACTCTGGTAGATCTCGTGCCTCGCAGGTACCCTGGGCCCCATGCCCAGCACTGTAAAAAGGAAACAGCAAAGGGCTACGTAGAGACTGCAGGCCATGGGAGACAGCAATGGCGATAAGGCAGTGTCAGAGTGGCAGCCGTCTGTCCGTCTGTCTGTCTGCCTAACGAAGAGAAGGTGCAACTCCAGACAGGCCATGCTTTGGAAGGCTCCGTACCGAGTTACAGTTCAATCCCGCCCAGCCCCAAGGGACACCTGGAGTCTTCCCAAATGTCTCTCCTTTCCTAATGACAACGTGCTGGACACCGACACAGAACCCCGCAGCCTGTGCTTTCTCACAGTCTCTGACAGTCCTACCTGCATTTCCATGATGGACATGAGATCTTGCCACTGCTGTTCCAAATCAAATGGCGACTCTGTCCCCGTCAGAAGAGGAGAAAGAAGGCTGTTCTGAAGGGTGGGGGACTCGCTCTCACTGGGCACTGCTTCTGCGATGCTGGGAACGTCTGCTGGGAACTGAGGCAGAGCACAGGCTTAACCGTGGGGAGAACCCTTCTGCCCTCTCACTAGCGACTACCATCTGGCCCCGTCTTTCTCTGAACTCACCCCCCGCAGCTGGCCCTCAGCTCGGGGGTGTTGTGCGGGCTGTGCTATCTGCTCAGTGGGCTCTCTGGTCCTGCTCACCTCGGCATTCTCTCCAAAGGGGCAGGTGACCTCCAGCAGCCTAAGACACTTTTCCAAGGACAGGGCTGTCTGATCCTCCCCACCAGGCACCTGTGGCAACAGCAACTATAAGTCTGACTGGCCTGGGCCCTGGCTATCTAGGACTGCTACCTCTTCCCAAGAACCGCTGTAGGTCTGCAGTGTCCCAGCCATTCTGAATGGTGGACCTTCGTCCCATACTTCAGGGACAACAGGAGGGATGACAGAAGTGTCCTAAGATGCTAGACACTTTACCTGTCTGCAGTGTATATTGCCAGGACCTGGTGCTTCTGAGTCCAATGCTCCTCCCCTCCCCACTCCCGTACCCAGCCACTGTGCCTTTATAGACCCCACGCCAAACACAATCAGGTCCACCGCAAAGACACAACTCTCCTCCAGAGCAAGTTTTCTGGAAGAGCTCCAGCCTGGTGTGTCTGGGGGGCGGGGAGAGGAGACCAGTGTCGGAGGCAGCAGTACCTGTGCAGGGAAGCTCTCCCCAGTCTCTCCATCTACTAGCAGGTCTCGGGCCAGAGCTTCCGCGCCCTCGCCTGCCCAGGTGTCCTCTCGTTCTCCTCCATCTTGTAGTTCCTTATCCACATCCTGCTCCTTCTGGCGATGACTGTAGTCAAAAACCTCACGCCCAGCCCCCAGATCAATATCCTGTCGCCAAAGGATGTCAATCAGATCTATATCCTGAAAGATAGACCAAGATGACTTTAGCTTTCAAGAAGCGCCCCCCCGCTCCAGGGGGGAGCTCCCTGTCCTACCCCCTCAGAGGTCCCACCTAGTCACATTCCAGTTAGTCCTGGGTGGGGCTCTACCCAGGCCCGTGCCTGTCAGCCTTTCTCCCTTGCTTCCTCTGACCAGTAAGGCATCATTCGTCCATTCCCAGGCAATCTTCCACCAAAAAAAGAGCCATTAGTAAAAACTACTAACATATCTAGCACCACACGGGTCTTCAGGTTTAGGATGTGGGCCAGAGTCACACCCAGACTAAAGGGCAGGGCTGCATCTCCTCTAATAAGGAAGAGGAGGAAGCAAGAGAGCCCTCTCATTTTAGGAGTAGGAGACCCTGCAAACAGACTGCCTGACTCCCGCAAGCAAGGGCAAAGTGCCCTGTGGAATTGCTTAGCAGTGACCAGGCTTGCATCAGCCTGTGGTGCCACTGCATTTGCATAAAGGGGTGGGGTGGCCTGGAGAGGAAAATCCCTGCATTTCCAACCACCTGATGCAACCAATGACAGCGACAGCTGTCTCCAGCCCTTCCTACAGCCCTTCCCCTTCGCTGGCTGACAGCTGGAGTAAGCTTCAACATCCACAACTAGTAAAGGCCCAGCCTCACCTCAAGACCCGTCCCTGACAGAATTCAACTGATCTAGCAAGCCGCCTCCTTCCCAAGGGAACCTCAGACAGTCAGATGATCCCCACTCCACACTCCACCCCTGCTCAGGCCAATCTCACTGTATCCCCTTACACCAATGCTACCTCCATCCCTCCCTCCCATACCACACCCCAGGACTCACCAGCTCCCCGTCAGTCAACCCACTCAAGGACACAACTCGCATCATTGCTGAGCTCTGACTGCAACCTTGGACATTAAAATGCCTCCTTCCACTTTGTTCTGTGGCTCCTAGACAGTTCCTGCACCAACTGCCACCCCCACTGACATCAGCACAGAAGCCCAAGAGTCCTTTGGATTTCCTATATATACCCCTCCCTTTAGGAGTCTTCCCAATAAGCCTGAAGAGACCCTCAAGTGGTGCCTTCCATTTAGAGATTTAAAAGCACACACTTTCCATTGAAAAGTATCTTTAGACCAGACCCACCTCTGTACCCCCAAGCAGGGACGGTACTTTCCTGTCACCACCTACTCCATCCTAAGACCCCTAAGACCTCCCACATATACCTCTCCCTTGAGTCTCCCACCATACACCAACCTGAACAGAAGCCCTGGACCCAGGAGCAGAGGGGGGCTGGGCCACCCGGTGACCAGCCAGCCAAGAGTTAAGTGGCCTGTCTTTGGCATGGCCCCCACCACTGTGAGAGCTGCGGTCCAGGCGGGTCATGGTCTGCGAGAGGAGCCCCAGGGCAGCCGGTGCCGGTAAGCCGGACAGGGGGCTGCAAGGAGCTCGTGGCTTGCAGGAAGCACACCAGGCTGGAAGGGTGGCCCCTTGGTAGCTCCGAGGGGCCCGAGGAAGGTGCCCCGCCCGTGCTGCTGCCTGGGCGGCCCAGCCCAGCCCCCTTCCTCCATCCTGGAGCAGCCCCCTCCCACCTCACAACCCCAGTTCCACTCAGGCGCCCAGCAGCCCCCACCCTAAGCTCACCGCAGAGGCTGCAGTGAGTCGGGACTCCCACCCCATGCTCCGTGCTCACGCTGCAGAGGAAAGCGAGCTACCTCCTGGGCCTGTCCTCCCGCTCCTCCCTCTCCCCCTCCCCACGCCCCTCAAACTTGTTACCTAGGCTGCCGCAAGGAGCCAATCCCCTCCCCCTCCCACCCCGCAGGTCACTGCTGAGGCTGCAGAGAGCCAATCCCCTCCCCCAGGTCAGCAGCTGGGGCTGCGGAAAGAGCCAATCCCCTCCCACTGTCGTTACCTAGGCTGCGCCGGGAGCCAATCTCCTCCCCCAAGTCTCCGCTGGAGATGCGGAAGGAGCCAATCCCCTCCCACCGCCTGTTACCTAGCTGCAGAAGGGAACCAATCTCTGCACCAGGGCAGCTGGAGAAGCTGCCGCAAGGAACCGGCCCATCCCTGGGCCGCCTCCGTCTCCTTGAGGAGATGCACCCAGGGGCGGGCAGCCCCACCCAGCCCAGTCAATCAGCTGGGGTGGTGCAGTAAGAGTCCTGGGGGGGGAAGGGGTGCCACTCTCCTCCCTCCCTCCTGTCGCATCTTGCTCTTCCAGCCCACTCCTGTGACTGGGCAGACACTCCTCCAGAAGCTTCACTAAGAAACTAAATTCTTTGCTGGGAAAGTGGAAGGAGTTTTCCCATTCCTTAAGAAGGTTGTGGCCAGTCCTCAAGGCTAGGGATCACAAGCCAGGCTGGGCAGAAACCCAGGGCTCCCAAGCCAAAAGAAAAAAAAAAAAAAAAAAAAAAAAAGGCCAGGAGCTTTGTCACCCTCAAACAGGCCAGACTGGAGGAAAGGGAAAGCCATCATTACATACATGCGGCATGTCAGTGCAGGCCAGGCCCAGCCCCTGACAAAAGGTGGGGGCCAGAGGATTCTGAAACCTAGCCTTAGAGAGACGGGTGCTGGGCACCATCCTGGCCCCAAATATGCCAGTTACCCCCTTTCATTTTAGCTTTTTCAAAGAACAATTTGTGGTGGGGGTGGAGGATCAAGAAGGGGAAAAAAGCATTTGGTGTGCGACCCCGACTAGATCAATCCTAGCAGGGAAGAGGGTAAAACCTGGCAGATTTGCCTCCTGAACTGCTTTCTCAGGGGAAACAGCTTTCTCCTCCCCACTACTCCCCTAGAGCCTAAGGTCAGGCCAGAGAGACAGTGTGTCCTCCCTTGGTTGCAGCCTGCTTCTTGCCCGGGGAAGAGCTGTAAACAGGCCACCCCTTGCTCTGGGCAGGGTGCCAACCTGGAGGGGAATCCTATCCCTGACAAGGACCTAAGCTATGGCTGTCCATCGAACAGGCCTGGCAGCAGGGAGCACTACCACCCCAGCGATAATGCCAGCTCCAGCAGTGCCTGTCACATGCTCTGGACCTGGGTATTTTTATCCCTGAGTTACTGAGGAAATGTTGTTCTAGGCACATCATAATCCTCCCGTCCCTCCTCCCCAGCCTAGGTCCCTCAGGCATGACCCACCCAACTTCCCAAAGGGAGTGGTAAAGGCCTGGGGTCAAGGAAAACACAACCTTCTTTATGACCAAGAAACAGCAAAGCAGATACCAAACTCCATCCCATTCTGCCCAAACACACCCAAACATTCTATATCCCCGAAAAACTCCCTGAAGGCCACTGTCAGTGCTAAACCCTGTAGGGTTCTCAGGAGAAGAGCGTGCCATGCCATTTGGGGCAGGAATAGGTTTCTTCAGCTCACTGGACTTCAGAAGCCCATTTGAAAGACAGGATAAGAGAAGCAGGAAAAGGTGAAGTTCAAGAGACACCGCGAGAACCTAAGACACTGCCAAACACGGTGGAACAGGCCTGCAATCCCAGCATTTAGGAGAGGCAGAGGTAGAGGCAAGAAAGGCACAAGTTCAAGGTTACCCTGGTCTATATAGCAAGATCCAAGCCGGCCAGATCATCTCATAAATATAAAATTTTAAGGATATAAGACAAAAGGCAAAAAAAAAAAAAAAAAAGGTCAGCCATGCTCCTGATTTCCATGATCAGACAATCCCAGCTTCTCTCACACAGATCCAGTAAGAGCTAGCTGATCTGAGTGGCTTTCCCAATCTCAGTGACTATGTAGTCTGGGGCTGCCCTGTGCTGTTTAAGACAGTCAGCAGCATCCCTGCCTTGCCTCTCAGGTGCCAGTAGCGTCCCTCCCCACAGCTGTGACAATAAATAAATCAAAATCAAAATCACCCCTAAATGAGGACCATGGACCTAATACAAGCCATATTCTTTGTCAGTCACTAATAAGACAACTGAGATAACGACAGGGAGACAAAGTGTGGTCTGAGATGATGGGCAGGAGTCTCGCTCTGCAGCCAGCCAACCTTTCACATTAATCAGCCCAGTGCAGTGGGTCTTTTTGAGCTCCTAGGCCTGGGGCAAGCCAAGGCTGTTTCTCTACCTAGGTCAGACAGAGGCAGCAATAGCCATTTGCATCATTAAAGGAAAGGAACTGAATCCTTTTCTTCCCAGAAGTTTGTCAGCCCTGTGCCAGGAGCTAAAGATCACCTCTACCAGCTCAGAACAAGCTGACCTGGGAAGAGCACAGTTCTCTTCCAGCTCCCAGCCTTTTCTGCTCTACTCCCCATAGAGGGCCCTTAGCAAAGACTGGGAGCCTTGGCTTCTCCTGGCCAAGAATAACTATCCCAGTCTACCCCTTGGCTCAAGCCCAGGAGAGTTAAAGGGAGTTTACAACACAGGCCTAACCGCAGTGGAGAACTTCAGGGTGCAGCATCCATGTTTTAATGCGGGCGGTGGAGGGGACGACGACAAGACAAAACAGGCCTCATAGCATGTGTCTTAGTAACAACATACACTTGATCAAAGCCTATCATAACACTGCCCTCCCCCATCTAAAGCCTCCAGCAGTCACTGAGATCTAAGTGGTAAAACCCCTGGTATGGTCTAGGAACCACCCTGCCCTGACAGGACACTCAGAGGTGGGTCAACGGTTCAAACCACGGAAATGCAGCTCCCAACCCTGACGTCAGACAATTCAGCCCATTCCTATCCAAGCAGTGCCCGAGGTCCAAACCCTGGACCCCAAGGGCTCAGAGTGGAGTCAACCAGCCTCCAGAACCAGCCCACTCCTTCCCAACACCCAGGCCCACCCACCACCACAGGGCCACTAACCTCTTTGGTTAAGTCTCCACCGACAGGAGGGGCCACAGCCCCCAAATCTTCCAAATCTTCACTGAATCCCTGCTCCGTTTCACTTTCTCTCACCCCGTTGTCTGGGCCTGTCACATCTTGGAGGCCACTGGAACTCTCGAGGGCGAGGCCTGAGTTGGGCTGGCTGCCAGAGACAGACCCCTCCGGGTCCCGGTGAACCAACCAAGCATTTACCTCAGTAGTAGGCACCTGGAACCTATCCAGGGCCCTCACCTGACTGAGGAGTCGCCGGGCAGTGAAGTAATTGTCCAGGTCTATGCTCTTGGGGTGGATCCCATAGCCATCCAAGGTATTCCTCAGGTTGTGGAACTGGGTCTGAGTATAGGCAGAACTGGGCCCCAGGATGATCTCCCGGAGTGGGGGGAGCTGTGAGGTCAGGTAAGTATCCACGTCCACCCGAACCCCAATCAGACTCAGCAGAATGGTGAACTGGAGAAGTCCTTCCGTTAAGTATTTCTTCAGAGAAAGCATTGCTGAAGGACCAGAATGTTTATGCTTTTTTGTTTTTAAATCTTCCACAAGACAAATCAAGGCCACTGCTCTGCCACTCCAGCCAGCAGGTCACCCTCCTCAGTAGGAGACCCTGTACCCTACCCTGGCACAACACAGGGGCTGAGCTCCCTGACGGCCCCAGAGGAAAGCACTCCCTGTGGAGTGAAAGCCACACTCCAGACCGCATTCACTCTTGCCTTCTTGACACCTCACCTCTAAAGTTCAGCTGTCGCTAACCCGGCCAGGCCCTCAAGGCCCTCTTCTCAACTTACTGTCTCCAGTCCACATCCAGTCAGCTCCCACTCACATCGGCTGTCCTCTGTGGAGACCCCACTGTAGGCTGTTCGCAGGAACAGCTGGCGAGTGGATTTCTTTCTTTCCTTCTTTCTTTCTCCTTCCTAGGGTTTATTTTCTTTGGCTGGAGCTACAGGTCTTTGTCTTGGGTCAGAGTGTCCCGCCTCCTCTGCACTTACCAGGGGGGTTTCCAGAGAAACCTGAAATGGGAATCACAAGGGCAACGAGGTAAGATTCCATGCTCTTTACATCATGCTCAGAGTAAGAACCTTCAGGGGGAAGGTAGGAAACACATTAAAAGGCTACTTTTACATGGAAAAACCAAACCAAACCTGTTGTACCAACTAGGGAAGGAAAGAAGGAGAGGCCCACTCTCAAGTTACTAAATGCTATAGTTTTCTACTCTTTTTAAAAGTAGCTCTCTTTGAAGAAGCAGACACTGTACACAGCATTCAAAATATCTTTACTTTGTCTAATTTACCAACACTCCCAACAGAACACATTACCCAGTTTCTAATTTTAGCACGAGAAGCCCATTTCCTATCTCGGAAAAAAAAAAGTTGGTTTCCCTTCCAACTCTAAAGAGGTGGGAAGAGATTATTGATGGGAGACCTGTGAAAAGTAGAGGGGAATGTTCAGGCCCCCATCTCACACAAAGAAATATGCCTTTTTGTTTTTCCGACTTCAAAATTTCCCTTTCCTACCATTTTTGCGTTTAAAAAAAAAAAAAAAAAACCAGCCAAATAGCACAGGCCACACAAAAAGCTGAACCATAAGGAGCAGAAGCATTAGCCCAGTCTGGACACAATAATGAGACCGTTTCAATAGTAAAGGAGAAAAAACAATTTAAAGGGCAAAGACACGTTCAATCCCAGCACGGCAAAATAAAAGGGAGGAAAGGTACAGGAGAGCAGTGGAGGAGGGTGGGCCCCTGCTCCGTCCAGAATTTGAATTCACAGGTTTTATCTTTATTTGCATGACCTTCTGAGCCAAAGAAGAAGGATATGGCCAAGTTCTCAATCTAAGCTGCCAAGTGGGGAGAAGGTAAATTTGCCTTTCTGTTTCTGGTTTCTACTTCTGAGCTTCCACTAACCTCATAAACCAACTAACTAAATCGGTTGTAACCCACTCTCCACTTCCCTCTAAAGGTGCAGTGGGATCTACCCGTACGAGGCACGCACACACACCCCCGAATCCCCTCGTTCGGTTGAGTAAACAGGCCTGCTTTTGAGAACCCGCCCGTCCTCACGCCATTTATTACTAAGACGTTCCCAGTGCCAACGGAGTTTTGAGAGCGCGGACAAAGTTCTTCCAAGCCAAGAAGGCCAGAGAGCACCCTGGCCCGAGTCCGGTCCCACCCTGCTCCATACCCGCGTCTGGCTGGGACCAAGCTGCCATGCCCACGATCGGCGCCTCGGCTGCGAGCTTCCCGGGACACCGCGCGACAAGTGCTACTTGCCCGGCCTTGACCCACCCTAAGAGCGCCCGCCTCACCCCGCCCTCCGCTCCCGAAGCCCCACCCCGCTCCCCAGGCCGGCCTCACCACGCCCTCCCGTGCCCTCGGCCCTTCTCAGTCCAGCCCACCCGGGAGCGCGCTCTCCGGGGCCTCGCGTCGCTCTCCGGCCATGCCCGGGGCCCGAGTCGGACGAGGACTCCTCCGCTTGGCCGCCCCCGGCCTCCTGTCCCTCAACCACGTCTCGCCGCCCCTCATCCCACCAGCCCCGGCCCTGTTGCGCCCCGGCTCTCTCGCCAGGGAAGGGAAGGTGTCAGGTACCCACTGCTGAGGTCGCAGGCCGCCGCCACAGCAGGCCCTCAGCCCGAGTCCCGGCCTCGCCACCGCCGCCGCCGCCGCCGCCACCTCCGGCCGGCCTGGAGCGCCCAGCCTCGGCTTCCCTCCCCGCCCCCTCCTCGCACTGCACTCGGAAGCCCGCCCTCCACGGCCACCCCAGAAACAGTTGCTCCAATCCGCTGGCCGGGACGGCCTCCGTCACCGGATGTCGTTTTGATTGACAGCGAAGAGAACCCAATAGCCGGGCGTGGCCCCGCCTCCTCGCCCCCCGTTTTCCCGAGACTGACGTGGAGAACAGACCAATGAATGTGCAGGCCCGCCCCGCGGTCTGGGCCCGCCAATGAGTGGGGCGAAGGCCCTAGTGTCCGGCATTCGGAACCCCTCCGCCGCGCGCCGAAGGCGGGCGGTGTTATAAGTTAGGCGCTTCTGGTGTGTTGTGTGCCCAGGAGTAAGGTCTTTTCAGGCAGAGAGAGCGGTGTAGCCCCCGGAGCCCGGAATTCCATCCCTGAGGGTTCCCACGGTGACTTGCAAAAGTCCAGTGAGACCTAAGGGGGCCGAGGCGGAGCACGGAGCATGTGGCTTTCGTGGTGGCGACGTTCGCGTCGCCATCTTGGGTACTGGCAACGGAAACCGGTACCCCTTCTCTGCCTTAGGGCCTGGCGTAGTAACCTGGGTCGTGCAGGAAGGGTGGTGTCTTGTAGCCCAGGCAACGGTCAAAGGGCAGAAACTGCCGGGCAGACAGAGTATCGAGGCCGTAGTGGGATGTTGGTAGTGTGAGAGATGGGACACGATCACCATTTTTGTCATCGAAGGAATACGGCGAACGGCCCCTCCCCCTCCTCTAACCTCTCGTACACAGCGTAGTTTTTGCTTTTCAGGAACGTTCCAGAGTTCTCCAGTCCCGTACACCAATACTACCAAACCATTATTTGTGACTATCAAATTTAGTATGCTCTCAACCTTTGTTAGGTTCCAAACCCCAAAGAGATTCCTGTTTAGTAGCCGTGGGGTGGGGACCGGATAACATGCCCTCTCGAGTAATTCTAATGCAGCTGGTCCGAAGACCACATTTAGGAAACCATTGAATTGGAATTTGTGCTGTGTTGCTCCCAGCTGTGGGACAGAGGTGAGGTGCCAGCTGAGTTCTTGGCTCCTTTAAAGAGGCCATAATCTAGTTGACAGTTCATCGCTCATTTTCCTTGTGTAATTAAGGACAAGGCCAACTGATAACAGATAAATTCACGCTGTGTGTGAAAAGTTTAGCCTGAATTTGGAGAGGTTCATGGAGTGTAAAGTACTTTAACGGATATAAATATGCACCAGCATCTTTTCAACTGATCCTTGCGAAAATTACTAAGCTCCTATACACCTTTTTAATATAAATTATTTTGAGCTAGTTTACACTTTCAAAGACTGTTTTACTTACTCATCATTTTTAGTGTATCCTAATAAATAACTAGAATATAAACTCTATGAGACTAGAAATTTGTGTCAAAACACCAGGGCAGCCAGGCGTCGTGGCGCATGCCATTGATCCCAGCACTTGGGAGACAGAGGCAGGTGGGTCTCTGTGAGTTCAAGGACAGAAAAAAAAAAAGGAGTACTGGGGTACTTGGTGATAGAGTACTTACCTAGAGTACTTTCCTAGCATGGTGTTCAAACTGCTGTGATAAAAGACAGTAACAACAGAAAAGGAAGTCAAGCGGTTAATTCGAAGCTCCCACTAAAATGGAAGCATTCTGAGAGTACAGTGGTTTGTTTTGTTGTATTTTCTGAGACAGGCTCTCACTCTCTAGCCCCAGGCTGTCCTGGAACTTAGGGCAAGCCTCCTGCTTCAGCCTCCCAAGTGCTGTATTATGGGTGCATTTCACCTATTTCAGCTAGAGTGCATTCCTAACAAAATCAACGCCCATATGGGTGTAGGGTGTAGGGACACAGGCTTGTAATCCCAGCACGCAGGAAGCAGAGGGATCACTGCGTGTTTGAGATCAGCCTGGTTTACATGCTGAGTTTCAGGCCAATGAGGGCTAAATAGCAACAGCTTATCTAAAACACAAAAATGGCCAGAAAAGTGGGGGGAAAATCTAATAAACAAAACGATAAGGCCCTAAATTCAATCCCTAACAAACCTTCCTTAAAAGGGAGAAGAGGTTCAATTATTACAGGCTTTGGAAACTACTTTTGATTCTTCTTTTTTTTAAGGCTCCATTCCTCACTTGGCCTCACAAGATAATTAAAAGCAGAATAAAAGCCCAGAGTCTCTCCCTTCATTTTGTATCTATCTTGTTTAGTTAGTCATCTTTTAATCAGTTGTTAAATGCCCCTTCAAGTCCCCTAAAATGTGCTCCAGTCAGATAACTAATGAAATGGGGGCCATCTCTCTGGTAATAAGGCTGTTTCCTGAAGCAGGAGTGCTCATGAATCCAGGTTACTTCCTCGAGCTTTGAAAACAATCACTTCTTCAGGCCACTTTGCAGAACCAGAACTCACCTAGTCCAAGACAGCTTCGTTATGCGTGCATCTTGCCTGTTGTCTCAGTTCTTCCCCTGTTTAAATCTAAAGCATTTGGTTCTCACCCTTCCTGTTGCTGTGACCTTTAATACAGTTCCACGTGTTGTTGTGATGACCCCCAACCATAAAATGATTTTCCTTACTACTTCATAACTATAATTTTGCTAGTCGTGAATCATAATGTAGATATCTGTGTTTTCTGATGGTCTTAGGCGACCCTTATGAGAAGTTCCTTTGACCCACAAAGGTTGAGACCCCCTAATCTAGAACTTACGTCAGTACTCTGAAGACAAATTCATTTTCACTGGACTCCTTAACTTGTTCCTCTTTCCAATAAACCGCTTTGATTAAAATGTCTTTGCTTTTCCCCATTGCTTGTGGTGGTTTGAATGAGATGACCTGAATAGTTGTAGACATTCGAATACTTGCTGCCCAGTTGAAGTCTATTTGCAGAGGCCTAGAAGTCGTGGCCTTTCTGGAGGAAGTATGTCACTGGGGCGGGCTTTGAGGTTTCCGAAGACTTTCCATTTCAAATTCCCTCTCTCTGTTTCCTGTTCACTGTTAGAGACGTGAGCCGTCAGCTCTCCGCGTCCAGCTCTGCTGTCATGCCTGCCTGCTGTCACCCCTCCCCGCTAGGATGGGAAGGGACTCTTAGCCCTCTGGAACTGTAAACCCCAAATCCTTCTACAAGCTGCCTTGGTCATGGTGTTTTATCACAGCCATACAAAAGTAACTAAGACACTCATCTCTTTAATTGATATGTTGGGATGGATCCAAGAGCCTGGCTAGTTAGAACTGCCAGAGTCCAAGTTTTTGTCCTAAAATTCTGATAATACAGTCAAGAATTATTAAAAAAAAAAAAAAAAAAAAGAATTACTTTCCACACTTGGAAAGAGGCTATGATATGCTACAAGAAAACAGACTATGTTTTAGCCACTAAATTATCAAGAACATGAAGGTAAATACTGCTGTTAGTGAAAAAAGGGATAGAGGAACAGTTTACAGAAGGTCTACACGTGTCCCTTGCGGGCTGCATCCCATCATAATCCATCACCCACAGTCCTGTGCAAGCTCAGGGTCCTTTACCCATGGGTGGAACACACCTCACTCAGCTTGAGGAGGTAGTGATTTCTCTGGACCAGCCTCCCCTGAAGAGTGGAACCATGGAGTACAAACCACTGGAAGTGATATACAGGGATTAGAGAAGGGGGTTCTCACTGGGCGATCTGCACAAACTTCAGTAACTAGATCCTGGTAGGAGTGACCCAGTTTGGGAAGCTAGGTACCCTGGCTTCCCTGGAGCCCAGCAATGTAACTTCAACAAGCTGGTACTCAGGACAAAAGTCCTTCTCAGTCAGAATGAACCCCTCACCCACATCTTTGCCAAGAACTTAGTAATGGGTACCTTTTCTAGCCAAGACCTTGAAGGACAGAAGCATGGAGAGGCCAGAGGCCTTAGAGGAAGTGATCCCAGTATGCCAGGAAAATACACATACAAGTAACAAGTCAGCAGTTCAACGGTACCAGGCGGAAACTCAGTCACCCAGCAGGATTTTGAAGATTCCTTCTGTCCACAGTCAGGAGCAGGAACTTTTTCTGGTTTTATCCCTTGAAACAAGAAATAGCATTCATGTCTCAGGCACTCTTCCACTGTGTGACTGCTGTATCTTGGTGGCTGGTGGAAGTAGTAGGTATGATTTTGATGCTGGGAAAGGCTCTTCTGGGCTCCAGCAGGTATACCAACTGAACTGTGGCAAACACAAATAAATACTCTCGGCCCTCAGTATGCAGCAGCATTTGTGAGGAAAATAGTTTTATTCGTTTTATTAAAAGTAAGGTTTTTTGTTTTGTTTTGTTTGTTTGTTTAGCTGAACAAGAGCAATGCCAATAGACATTGTGGGTGGAAGCTTAATATTTACTACAAATGCTCGGCCAATAGCTCAGGCTTATTACTAACTAGCTCTTACATTTTCAATTAACCCATATTTTTTAATCCTCACTTTGCCTTGTGGCTCGGTATCTTTTCTTAGTACTAGCATGCCCATCTTGCGTCTCCCTGCATCTGCTGACAACTCCACTGACCCTGCCCTTCTTCCTGACATTCTTTTTTTTTGGGGGGGGGTGTTTCTTTGTGTTGTTTTGGTGCCTGTCCTGGATCTTGCTCTGTAGACCAGGCTGGCCTTGAATTCACAGAGATCCACCTGGCTCTGCCTCCCAAGTGCTGGGATAAAAGGCGTGCACCACCACTGCCTGGCTCCTCCTGACATTCTTAGTTTGGCTTTCCCACCTAACTTTATGCTGTTCAGCTATTGGCCAGTCAGCTTTGTTATTAAACCAATCACAGCAACAAATCTTCACAGTGTACATAAGGATTATTCCACAGCAAGATGTGCCAAAGAGGATGGGGGAAAGCCCATGAGACCTCAACCCTCCACAAAGAATTATGGGCAACTGAAGAATTCTGAGTGAGAAAAAGTCTTCTCCAGGGAAGAGGACAGAAAGAGTTCCAAATGGTCAGCCCTGAAAATATACATACAAGTAACTGAGCAGGGTATATTTTGGAATACATATGTATATACATACATACATACATACATGTAACAGCAATTAAA